ACCCCCTACTTTGATGGGTTCGTACTGTCGATAAATCCCAAACTAGTTGAATGAAACACCTGGCTGTCCAGTACTCTCTGTAGCTGGTTTTTTCAATGTTTCTCTAACTGATATCAATCTGTTCGTGGTCAAACTCGTAAATAATAAATAAATTTAATCCTTACAAACCAATTGTTGAAAACTATCTATCTATTTCATTAACAAGAAGAGATGATTATCACTCATTGGAGAATATTTTCATGTTATATTCATTCTTTTTATCTTTTTCCACAATAACAGAAAAGATTTCATCCTCAACTTGATCTCCTTTATTGTAGTACATCAATTTAATTGAATTTTAGATTTTCCCGTCGATTGATTGGACTGAAGTCCTCGGTCTCAGGTTGACATGTCTGTTGGCTTCTTGTGCAGATGATTCGACTATGTCTTGGCATTTAATTAGTATTTAATTGATGAATGGTGACTAGCAGTGGATTTCAGGATGCACATTTCGTCCTGTTTGGGACTCATCATCTGGATGTACCTGAGACCGAGCTTTTCGGTCCAGCCAATCGACGGGAAAATCTAAAATTCAGTTAAATCAATATGACCTGTTGCACAAGAGGTGGCTCTCTTGTGGAGCGAGTGGTCTAGTGGATAACGCTTTGGTGTTTGAAACTATGGGCACTGGGTTCTAGCTTCGGTGGGAACATCATAATTCACTGAGAAATGCGGGTACATCCAGCTGACGAATCCCAAATAGGACTGTGGAAATTCGCATTGTGGATTCCACTGCTAGTCACCATCCACCAATTAAGTAGTACATCAACGCTTGTCTATGTGTATTGTGTGTGTGTGCCTGCGTTTGTGAGCAGCATGGAAACATTTAAAGTTTGAGTAATGTCAGTATAAAAATAGGTCATATTCTGTTATTATTGTTCCATTTGGTTCCAAGTGGAAAATACAGCCTCAACAGCACATCTCCACTTAGTCCTGTTCTCCTCAGTTCACGATTCCTCTTAGGCACTCATCTCCTTCTCACATGGTCTTCTTCATATCACCCTCCAACACCCTCTGCCGAATTCGCCGCTTCCCATTCAACTTCCACTCCACCGATGGCTTAGCCTGTGGCGTCACCCTACCGTCTCCTCAATATGTGTCCGGTCCATCTTCATTTTCTTCGGAACATTTGTTCACCAATAGATTCTCGGATGGTTCTTTCTTAGACTCTCTTATTACCTATCCTTCCTGAACGGCTATATGATCATCAGTATGAAGCCAGCAAATAGAGCTGTTTGACTTGATTTTCGTGACTCATGCGCCAAGTTTCTGACCAATAAAGTAGAATTCACTGAATTAGCATTGGTGCTAAAATACCTGAATTTTGTTCTTTATACTGAATGAGCGCCGAAGATCTCCAAAGTGACTTCGCACTGATGATGAAAGATTTGGCATGTCTTTCTAATACTGGTTTTGACATCCTCATCTGTACTGGTTCCCTGTTGTTGGAACGATTCTGCCTAGATCAGTGAGGGAACTGAACTCTTTCAAATTTCTTCCGCTAATGGTGATTGGTGATTGTTGTTGTTGATGGGGGTTGGTTATCCTTATCACCTCAAACTTCTCTATGTTCGCTTGGAGTCCTGTCTTCACCGATAATCTTTTCTTCCAACTTGTTTACCTTTTCTCCTGACAGGCCTTCAAGTTTAGGTGACATTTAACATAAATCGTTGGCGGAATCTTAAACGTATTGAGTCTTCTTATAGGTCAGACTTAGTCCTATCCTCTCAGTCCCCACAGTCTGCTTATAGCTAAAATTAATTGACTATTATTCACCGTATAGCCTAATTGAAAATATGATTCAATGTCACTATTAGGTCATATGTTATTTGGTTTGATTGCTGTATGTATTTTTATTATTATTTCCATTAATTCCTGGAGGAATATAGGGCTTCAGCCGCGCGTCTCCATTGCCTTCGGTTCTCTGCAAAAGTTTTCACCTGGCTCCAAGTCTGCCCACATGCTTTCATCTCCTCTTCACATGACCTCCTCCAAGTCACCCCACCCTCTCACTGACGATCAACTCGCCGCTTCCCTCTCGAGTTGCACTCGAGCGATGGCTTGTCTAGTGATGTCACTTGATGGTTTGTTTTCTCACAGTATGGCCAATCCATCTCCATTTCTTCCTGCTTATTTGTTGCACAATCGGTTCTTGCTGGGCTGGTTGGTTCGCTCATTGCCGGAGATCCCTCTCTGTTTCTGATCTTTTCTGGCCGGCCATCTGATCTTGAGTAGTATTGAGCGAAGACAGCTGTTGATGAGGGTATGTAGTTTGTTTGAGGTACTCTTCATGACGCGCCAAGTCTCTGATCCACCCTTATAGTGAGTAGCACTGACTTCACATTGAAGTTGAAAATCTGGATCGTATTTTCATCTTCATGGGGAGTGACCTCTACACAGACTTGAGAGTAATGAAAGCTTATCTTGCTTTCCTGATCCTCGCTGCTTTGATATCCTCGTCAGTTTCGCCTATAGTTGAAACGATGCTTCCCAGATAGGTGGGTAGGTAAAGGAGGTTGTTTCTTTCAGGTTTCTCCCATTTATGCAGGCTGATTGTTGTCTGTTGTTGTTGCTGTTGGTGTTGGCCAGGAATCTTCATCACCTGTGTTTTCTCTATGTTGACCTGAAGGTGGTCCTATCTTTGATGCTTCTTCTGCCAACTTGTTCCTTTTCACTTGCATATCTTCCAGTTTGTGGGAAATCAGACAGAGATCATCGGCGAAGTCCAGATCCTCCAAGTTTTTTGTGTATGTATGTATAACTGACGATAATTACATGAAACTATAGTCATTTTTTATTTTATGATTATATTGTCAATCGAACTTGTAGACCATATCCACTGATTAGGAAAAGTAGCATTGCCTTCTTAAACCATTGGGTTATTACTTAAATTTTCTATCTGTCAAAATCTGTCGTGTTTACTCCCTTTCATATTGTTCTGCTGATCTAATTACCCTCAATGAGTCACGATGCATACTCGTGCACGATTTCAAATAAGTTTCTACACCTAGAAGTGGGAATTCTTCCAAGGCAAAAGACGAGGGACATTGTGAAGTAGTAGCAGTAGTGAGCCAAGCTGTGCATGAAACAATATTTCTTCAGATAACATATTATCGATTATTACGTTGTGTGAAGATTCTGCACAAGCAGTAGATACGATTGCAGTATAACTTGTAGGAAGCCCTCCACCTAGGTTTCAGGCTTATTGACACTCATTAATCATGAAGACATATCTAAAATCTTGAAGGAATTCATTTCCTTGAGGAGCCTACCAACCAATCTCAAGAGACTTAACATGTGCTAGCTAATACGATTCGCTGATATATGGCTTAACTTTCTAAGAAACGGTCACAAGCAGTACAGAATAACCTTCAGCAAGAAAACAACCAATCTACTAAAAATAACGCTAACAATAATGTACATAAAAATCTATAAATATCTGTTGATTTTCTCAACAAACGATCTGTTGCCTGGCGCTTGTCTTCTGTCGTTATAAATGCAATACCTCCGCAGATACCTTTCACTAGGGAAGCAACTGTATAGACATGGAATCACTGTCGAATAATGCAATTGTATATTGCAAAGCTATTAAATTTAACGGTTAGCTTGTAAGAAATATTCTGATCACTATTCGATGATTGATCTGCTTGAATAAAGCAAGAACAGCAGTGGTTTGTGCAATATAATATGGTACCATCATTGTTTATTTCGTCGGCTTCTCATCAGCTAGCTGCGTATACAGCCTAAATAAATTATGAGGTTTATGTACACGAAAAGTTTTAACATACTTGCAAATTTTACATGATGTCAATTTACATGACATAAAGTTCCACAATAAGTGAGCAGTGCTCAGAAAACCGTACTTCTATAGTTTTTTCACAGGCAGTTCAAGTTTAAACAAAATAAACATATCCATACAGTTGTAAAGGAGTCACTTAATAAGGAGGATAGATACATGAGATGCACAGTGGCTACCAGGACCCTGGTAACTGGATGTCTGTATTCTCTCATCTGATCACTTAATCTTTGTCTTTAACCTCACCCTCCTTTTATAATCTGTAATTTTGCTTGTCTCTTGCTTCTATGATTTCAGCTGAACTCAGTACATTGTTATCTATTTTATTAATCACTCTGCATCTAACGCACATGTCATCTTTATTACGCAACTCCTTTACCACTGTATGCATATATTTATTTTGTTTAAACTTGAACTACCTGTATAAAAACTGTAGAAGTGCAATTTTCTGAGCACTGTTCACTAATTGTGGAACTTTCTGTCAACTGACAGACATCATGTAAAAATTTGCAAGTATGTTAAGACGTTCCTGTACGTAAATCTCATAATTTATTTAGGCTGTGATACGCAGCTAGCTGATGAGAAGCCAACGAAATAAACAATGATGGTAGCATATTATATTGCACAAACTACCATTGTTGTTCTTGCTTTATTCAAATTCATCAAGGGGAATAAATGCATGAAATTGATCTGTTTGTCATTGTTAGAATAAATCAAAGCGAGAAAAACTCTATTTATTAACTGAAGATATGAATTTATATGTATATATTACAAAAAGTTGTATTTTAATAATTTAATCTGTATATGCATATTCATACAACTATGCATGGACTCAATAATATTTCCTCTCATCAACTGCACTCATTCGCTGTTAACCACTACTTTCTATTGTCTTTCTAATGTATTACTAAGTAGTATCAATTGAATGAGATAAAAAACGTAATGATCACAGTGTTGTGTGTGAATGTGTGTGTGTGTGAAGAAAGGATGACTGTTCTTTACAGAAACAAAGAAGTGAAGAAAAGAGGAAATGTCATAGCACACTCTACTCCCGAAAATGCGGAGAAAGAGGGAGGGGAGACAATATTTAAGAAACTGATCCGTTCAAATGGATTCATACCACATACTGATTGATCACTTATGAAGAGGATAGGATAGAATGCATTCAAAATGTACGATGTGATAATTTATCACTGTTCACTAATAATTCATAATTCATTTCATATATATTTTGTAAATTGACCGTGATCGGTGGTGGTGTAGATAGCACACTACGATCACTTAGTAGTAAAGTAAACGATGAGGAGGACGGTGGAGAGGATGATGACGAGGATAATCTCTCTTGCTCTCTACTGTATACTTCTGTTTTTAGTGTTTCATCAGGTAAGCAGGTAAACTCTTTCTGATCGAACCAAATATCATTTCTGCCACAGACAATTGACGATGATGATGATGATGATGGTTGTAACAAAGACTGTTGTCCAGCGTTGTATGAATCACTTGAAAAATTATACAAATGATTTGTAAAGTATTGATGATTAATATTTTGTTGAAAATCTGTAGTTGGATGTTCTTGTTCTCCTGGGAAATTGTCAAGCCAACTGGTGTGCATTAAACATTCATTCGTGTAGGCTAAGAAATCTGTTTCCAACAGATGCTGTTCTGTTCTATGACAATTGGGATCGTCAGCATTTTCCACCCGGATGTGATTGTTTCCATCCGTTGTCGTAGATGAACTGATTACAAGGAAATCTTGGTCACCGCAATGATTATTATTATCATTATTATTATTATTATGATTATTAGACATTTCATATGGCATAATGCCGTTCTCATTACTTATATTTTTCTGTGCGTTATCTAAATTATTCGATACAGTATTGTCGTACCCATGTATGTAAGATGAATCTACATAATAATTATAATTATTATTATTATTACTATTATCGATATGGCCAGTAGTAGTGGTTGTGTTATGAGCAGCTGAGTTAATACACTTCGTCTTGTTCCCCTCCATGAAATCTGTATATCTACGCTTTACAGGAAATTTGCCTTCATAATTAAGTTTATCATCACTGCTGTTATCTTTAGGCGGTTTATTACAATAATCTGAAAGAGTAGGGTAATAACAAGCCTTAGATGTATTCATGACTGTTTGATTGTTCAAATGATCGTGTAATTTACTTTCTGTATTGATTTTATTCATTGTTGTTGGCGTTGCTGTCGTTGCTGTTGTTCTTGTTGATGTTGTCGGTAGTGACTGACTGGATTGTTCCTCACCAGGAAAAGCTAAAGAAAATAATAACTCGGGTTCATAAACAAATCGATAGACGTATCTTTCACCAGAGACTTTTTGCATAATCCCCTTTTCATAATAGTAGCGTAATGATCGACTTAGCTTGTCGTAGTTCATAGCTGGACGATTCTTTTGTATACCCCATAAACGAGCAACCTAATTAAGAGAAATATATATATATATATATATATATATATATATAATATTGCATAATTAGTTTTATATGACATATGAAGTGAAATCTTTGCTACAAAATTAAATTATAAAATATTCAGGATTTCTACGAGTTGACCACGGATGAAAAGCAATATTGGAGTACTGGATGGACCACCAGCTGTTTCATCCAACTAGCTTGGGAATCGTTGGTAGTACGAATCCACCACTAGGGTTCCAACTCAGGACCTTCTGGTTATAAGGCAAGCTGGCTCGTATACCATTCAGCCACTGGGACCCGATTCAATGGCCACCAGCGCATGAATTCTAACTTTTGCTAATTCGCGAAGCATTTAGCGCGACTACCAACCCATATTATCGTTGGGACATCCATCCTCACACTTGACTTAGGTTGGATGTACCTCACTGGTCACAACTTCTTACTAGAACTGACTCCAGGAAACTCCATCCTGTGGCAAGTTACTAGCGAGCATCGGATTAATTTTCAATAGTTGGTTTGTAGGGATTAGATATGTTTTTGCGAGTTGATCACGGATTGTTATCGGTTAGAGAAACATTGAAAACCAGCAAGGAGTACTGGTTAATAAAAATGCCTTTTATTCATTTGGAATGCTACATACTCTTTAACGTGTATAGGGTATTTATCACAAAAGGTATTACAATGAATTCTGCGTAGTATTCTACACAAATATTAAAGATAACTCAAAAATAATCACAATTATATATAAAATATGAATAAATCGATTCACTGTCCAACCCATGAATTCTAACTTCTACCAATTCGTGATTTAGCGCGACCCCAACTATTGTCGTTGGTTGGACATCCATCCACACACGTGACATATAATTGGACTTCACTGGTCACCACTTCTCACAAGAACTCCAGAAGACTTGATCCTGTAGCAAGTCACTAGTGAGCATCAGATTATTTTTCTATAGTTTGGTTTGTAAGGGTTGGTTTTGTTTTAACGAGTTGATCACGGATTGATATCAGCTAGAGAAGCATTGAAAACCCAGGGAGTACTGTGGTCGCACTAAATCACGAATCGGTAGAAGTAAGAATTCATGAGCCATTGAATCGTGTCTCAGTGGCAGAATAGTATACGAACCAGCTCGCCTTGTAACCGGAAGGTCGTGGGTTCGAAACCTGACGGGGTGGGTACGTACTGCAGATGACTTCCAAATCAGTGGGATGAAACAGCTGTCCAGTACTCCCTGGCTGGTTTTCAATGGTTGTCAAATTGATAACAGTCCGTGATCAACTCGTAAAAATAAATTTAATCCTTAAAAGCCAACTATTGGAAATAAGAAATTTCACACCAAAAAAAAAATTGAAAGAATCCCTTTCTTTAAAAGTAGGTCAATGCAAGCCACTGAAGTAGAGCTACGTCTACTTTTGTATAGAAGTGTGTGGTATAAGTACTTCTTCCAGAGCAGAGAAGGAAATCAAACTCCAAGTTTTATACCCAAATAAAATTGAAGAAGTAGCAATTTTCTTATTCAGAGCATGTTTCAGCATGAAACGCACTGGTTACAAGCTTTCTTTTTCTTTGTCAAATATTTCTTATTATTTTGGATGAATATTAAATTACTGCCATGTGTATCACATTAATGATAGTAGCAGTAATAGATAATGATTCATTGTGTATTTAAAGTGGCATGAATCTGTCCAGGCGTTACGGTTAACGATGTCAAAACCAGCCGGGAACTGGTAGACATAACTGCTGGACATTCGTCACTACGGGGAAATCAGTTCGGAAATCTCTTGCACTCAGTCAGCACAAGGAACGAAATTCCACAGCGGACCTTATACACCGAATGAAGCCGTTTCTAGGTGGGTCTAAGTGGTTTAATTTAATGCCCAAAACTAATAACCCCAGTAGGATGTATGGTGTTGTTAAAGTTCATAAGTCAGGATACCCTATTAGACCCATAGTTGATTTTAGAAATTCACCTACCTATGAATTATCTAAATATTTAGCCATGGTATTAAATCCCCTTAAAAGCCACTCAAAATCTAGACTAACAAATTCTTATGAACTAAAACACAAATTAGATAATTCAAAATTAGATGATGAAGAAAAAATGGTTAGTTTTGACATTGTCAGTTTATATACACGTATACCGATAAATATGGCTATAGAGACAGTCAGAAACGAACTCATTTCTGACCAAGAACTCGAACTTAGGACAAAAGTGCCACTGGATGACATAATGCTGGGAGTGCAGCTTTGCCTGACTTCCACAGTATTTAAATTCCAAGGGAAAATATACAAACAAACTGAGGGAGTTGCCATGGGATCACCAATATCCCCAGTTGTAGCAGATATATTCATGGATAGGTGGGGAAAACATAGCGATTGAAACGTTCACCCCCACCCCAAAAGTATGGTGGAGGTATATAGATGACACATTCGCTGTGTGTTCTAACACAAGATATAGAGAGATTTTTCGAACACATTAACTCAAAGGTGGAGGCAATTCAATTCACTTATGAACTGGGAAGTCGGGAAGGGGGAATTCCAATGTTAGATTGCAACGTAAAAAGGAAAGAAGATGGGAAGTTAAACACTAGTGTTTACAGAAAACCCATACATTCAAACAGATATTTGGACTTCCGATCATCCCATCCTATGTCAGTAAAATAGGATTGGTGAAATGTTTAAATGACAGAGCACAAAAACTAAGTAGTACCAAGGAAAATCTAAGACAGGAAGTGATAAACATCGTAGCGTTAGTGATAATAATAATAATAACAGTGATAATGATAACACTAATAATGATAATAATAATAATAATAATAGTGATAATAATAATATTAATGACGACACCAACAATAAGGAATCCAAATCAACAGTAGTAATTCCATACAAGGAAGGAACCTCGGAAACCTTACACAGAATTCCTAACAAGGCAGGAATAAAAGTGGCTGGCATTCAAACCCACAAATTCAATTAGAAACAAGCTTTGTCGGTTAAAAGCATCAATCCTATGAAGCCTTTAAAACAAAACAATTTAGTTTATGTAATACCCTGCCTGTGATGGTTGTCAGGTCAAATACATAGGTCAAACTAGTAGAAGAAGGGCAGTCAGACTAGCTGAACATAAAAACCTACCAAAATCTGGATTGGCTGACCCAAATAAGATAAGAAATCTTGAGAATAGTTCAGCTATAGAACTCATTACATCCAATTACACACAACCATACAATAGGATGGGATAGGATGACAGTTTTAAAATCTAATGTTGTGGCAGGGTGGAAGGAGAGACTGATGACAGCGGAAGCTCTGTTTATCGAACCAACTGCAGATACATGTAATAGGAATGATTCATCACCTGTTCCTGATATCTGGAAAATTCTACTACCCCTACGACAAATAGAAGACAAAGAAAACTATAAAACTCAAGTTTCAAAGTCGTATGATTACAATTGATATGATCATCAACAGCAATAAACTTTTTTCGAAATGTCATCCAGTAAATAATACTGTTTCGCTGTGTGTAACATCTAATAAACAGACTAATGTGGAACGAAATTCGGATTTTCAGCACCAATTCTTGGTTAGAAATCAGGTGCACGTGTCATGAACAGCATTTCATACAAGTCACTTCAACCTTATCAACAGCTTCCTACTTCTTTGGGCTCAATACTGAAGATCAGACGGCTGGCCAACCAGCAGGAATTATCAACAAGAAAGTCTAGGAACCAACCAACCAAGAACTTTCTGCTCACCAAATATTCCAGAGAAATGGGGATGAATCAGGTAAACGTTCGGTAACACTGTACACCAGGCCAACTCTAGGATGGAATCCTAATGAAGAACGATGAGTTTGACAAGTTTCCGAAGGCGACACTGTTCGTTAACCCTGAGGATATATTGTTTAGTCGTGGTTAGACCATGGAATGCCGCCATGAGTTGAAGAACGTTTTGTGTTTGTTTGGGAATCTTCTGATGCATCACGATTCCTTAAGTCGGATATGAGTAATCAGAAGATACAGAGGCCAGAAACTTTGTCAGACTGATCTAGAACTAGAATCCGTTGTAAACATATATATGAATAGTTTCTTCTCTTTCTCACGGTGGTCATTCGAAGTAGAGCAAGTTTTTTTGAATACTCGTGATAAATATGATTACCCCTCAAAATTCTGATGTTCCTCGGTTGTCCTGTTCTTCTTTTCCTTATACTGTTGTTACAGTAGTATTTCTGTGTGGTTCAACTATTCGTGCCTACACTGGGCAGTTGTTTCGTCCTAGTTTGGGACTCATCTCCATTACGCACCCAACGGGGGTAGAACCCAGAACCTTCCAGTTCCAAGCAAAGCTCCTCGACCACTAGGACCTGATTCAACGACCTACGAATTCTAACTTCTGTCAGTTCGTGCAATTTTAGCACAACCATTATCAGAAGTTGTTGGCGAGTATTTCTCCTCACGCCCGACCTCGTGGACCCTATTGAATTCGAGCCCCCCCGCCCCCCCCCAGTGAGGAAGCACCGCCGATGAAACCCAAACTAAGACGAAAAAGATGTTTAGTACACCCCGCTGGCTTTCATTAGTTTTCTAACTGATATCAATCCGTGATGGAATCAGGAACATACTTTTAAGTTTACCATTCCTTCGCTTTTCGAGTTGGGCATGGGGCTCCAAGCATGAGCTTTGCAGTTTCAGCAGTGATGTTGGTCGCGATTACCACCGGCCAAGAAAAATTTTAGGAGTGCATCTGCCGGGAATCGAACTTGAACCATCTAAAACGTGGTTAGCGAGCATACTACCATGGCAGCATTGATGTGCATTTTTAAGTACTGACCAATATGACTCTTAATGGAACCTAAAACATGCACTTCAGAAGCAGCATTTAACCACATCTCTAATCCTACTTCTTATCAGTATGCAAAGACATATAACGAAATGTTTTTAAAAGAAAAGAAAAAACCTACACTGCATGAGTTGTACATGACATAATTTGTCATATGAGTATCTTACCTCTTCAGGATCATTTAGCTTAAATTCCAATGTTCTACCTGTCCAGCATATTAAATGTTGACTTTCTTTATCATCTAACAATGCGATCAAAAATTGCCATAACTGTAGAGAACCTCTATGATGTAGATTAGCTAAGGCGGCAGATGCAGCTGCCATTATTGCTCCATTATTGTTCCCTTCAGTATTCCTGCAATGATTGTCCAGTAGTGATGAAGATTTTTCTGATAAACTACTGTCGGATATCTTTGTTTGAAATGATTTTTCAGAAAATTTTTGTCTACACACTCGAATATCATTATGTCTGTTGGAGAACGACATTAATGATGTTGATGATGACGAATTAGAAGAAGGAAATACTGATCCTGTACCAGGTTCATTAGGATCTGATAACTGGATTTCGTGATCAGTTAAAGAGTGATCTTTGTGTTTGTAAGTTTTTGACAATATCTCATTTCCTGATAGTGTTACTTGACTCTCGGAGATCCATTCATAAGGTGTTGTCTTATATGGATTATTTGTAGTAGAATTACACGATAAATAGTAAGAAATATCGAACTGAGCTGATTCTGTCTCATCTAGATTTCCATTAAAAAAAAAGCGTGAAAAAGAAGAGGAAACATTGAAACAAAATATTAGTATGCTCTACGTGAATTTTTATCAGGTTCTGACTAAAGATTTATACTAATGCTTAATGTTAAGTGACTTGGGACGGGATGGAAAAGGTGGAGGGTTGGTCAGTCCATGTCCATGACGTGGCGTCGTGGGATGAAGGATTTTTGTGCTAGATTAGCATCGGTTGGTGTGTCACGACTCCCTAGTTGGGGTCCAAGAGATAGCTCAAATCGATGGCTCGAAACGTTATCGGATATGGCCAGGAATCGTAATCAGTGGCGAACGTATTGCGATTTCCTTCTTTCTTCCCTTCCCCATGATAGTTAACGAATAGTGTTTGAACTTGTTTTCCTTCCTGATGAAGTTCCTTATCCGTTCTCTACTTATATTTTTTACCTTTGATCTTTGTTGCTTTATTATTGTTGTGTGGCGCATCTTTCTTGGTGCCATATTGTGCCAAGTTTTTTCTGCGGTTCCAGTGCTAACGAACAGAGACCTGTACGGAAGCCTCTGGGATGACATTCGCAGCACATGTCAAAGCCACCGGAACCGGTGTTTCCAGATGACGACACTCAGTGAATGGTGATCTCCACTGTGTCCAAACACACGCCGCCGAACCTCAGAATTACTCACGCGATGATGCCATTGAATGCATGCAATCCTGCGGAGACAGCGGTGATCGAACACGCAGAGTCGCTGCGTGCACATCCTCAGCTCTGAGAGGCCAGGTTTCACAGGCGCAGAGGAGGGCAGTCCGCACCGAAGCATTGTATACCCGACCTTCGACAGCCAGGCTAACATCGCGACGGCGCCATAGGTGGCTCAAGTTGGTGTATGCCACCCTAGCCTTCATTATACGGTTGGAAATCTCATCCGTCACCCCTCCGCCAGCACCCACACAACTACCCAGGTACACAAACTTATCAACAACTTCAAGCGGTTCTCCCGCAAGAGTGAGTGCAGGTACAGGCTCCTGCCAATCTTGTAACAGTACTTTGCACTTAGACGGCGCAAAGCACATACCATACTTACAGACACTGATCGCCAACTGATTAAGTGCGATTTGGGCAGCCTGCATGCTATCGCACAGTACGACGATATCGTCTGCATACTCGAGGTCGAAAAGTCTATCTCCAGATGGCAGATCTACACCACCTTCACGCACATCCTTCAGAGCTGACTCCAGAATGTCACCGATGGCAATGTTGAAGAGAAATGGGGAGATTGGGCGACCCTGTCTAACCCCACTGTTGGTTTGGAACAGTGATGATAGTTGGTTATATGCCCTCACTCTACCTGAGGTGTTTCTGTATAGTGCTTTCAAGATGTTAACAAATTTCTCAGGTACATCTCCCTCTAACAGACAGTTGCAGAGCACAGTTCTGTCCAACTAATCGAAGGCAGCCCTAATATCAAGAAACACAACGATCGTTGGCCTGCAATACTTGTGGCGGTATTCCAACAACTGACGAAGGGTGAACACATGATCAATGCATCCACGACCTGAACAAAATCCAGTCTGCTCTTCGCGAATCAATCCCTCACGTATTTTGCACAGCCTGCGAAGCAAGACAGCAGCCAATATTTTAGACGCAACTGTGTAACTAATGCCTACGTGTTAAACTGTAAAGATCTGACTGATTCCAAGACAGGCTGTCGTCTCTTGTGGGATCATAACTGTTTATTGTTAAAGAGTTGCAAACTGTAATGAAACAAAAGAACCTATACCTCCTAATATATATTGTTTCTCTAATTGATGTTTATCCACAATGAAGTATACTTCCCATTTTACTGAAATTCAATTTTAAAAATCATCAAAACAATTAACTAGTAGATGGTCGCAATAAAATATTTGAGTTTTGAAGGATGGGTGAAAATAATTAATTGCAGGTTCGAATAAAGCTACACACAGCTCAATACTAGCTCATCTCATCAATAATGGACATCAAGCTGACTCTAAAACAGCCGCTAGAGTTAATGGTTGGATTTCACCTTACCACCTTTCTCATGCATGCTCTACGATTATGACTTATACAAATGCGTACAGTAGAGGCAATCGGAATTCATTTGAACAAGCCAAATCTATGAGTGTTGTAAAGAAATTTGGGCAGCCCCTTTATTTGTCACGGCCAACTACAGAATATGCAGTTATTTTTTACATACGATTTTCACTCCTCCTCTTGTTTTAACATTGTTATGTGATTATGATTACAATTGATAATAATAATAATAATAATTTGCTTTATTCCAAAACAGTACTCGTGATACAGCATTTCACTACTGTATCTCATCCAGTCTGTACATTATCAATAAATAAAATTCTACATAGATTAAGGGTAATCTCAGTTTCATGCCTAATGCTTTCTATATTGCACCGAATACGAGCTAAGTAGGGTATGGTTGAGTTGGGTTTTTTACTTACTAGTGCGAGCATCTAGTTTTGTACATAGGCTTCTGGGTGTGCCTGATGAGATACAAGGGGAGAAATGTGAATGAAGAGAGTGATGTGAGTTAGATAGAATGGATTGATTTAGCCCATTTTTCACACGAGTCCAAGTGCCTGTCAACCAGAATATTTACAAGCTGGTTAAGCGGCACATTGCTTACCCTGCTGACAACCTTTAACTTCCTGTGGAATAAGGTATAGTCTTTCTTCAGCAGCCAGCCCTGGAAAAACTAAGGGAGAACAATAGAAAATAATAGGCAGGATCCAAGAGTTAACGAATCGTAGGAGTAAGGTTTGGGTGAGTTATTCCAGAATGTCTTAACTTCTTGATGTAGAAGGTAAGACGGAATACTTTCTTAGAAATCATCAAGATATGAGACGACCAGGAAGAAAAGATCAGCAGATAGAATGATGCCTAGGTATTTAATTTCCGACTTGGTTTCTATTTCAGTGCCATCTATGTTGCACACCTCGTGAGTGGTAACCAGTTTGTTTAGGTGAGATTTGTGCCCAAAGGTGAAATTGACTGTTTGGCATTTAGAGGGATTTAAGGTTAGACCGTTTTCCTTGGACCACTGACTGATTTATGATAAAAAGCCATTTAGTTTACAGCAGTCACTTTGAGTAGCTAATTCAGTTAATTTGTTTGTATTTCAGTATTCTTAAGTAATTCTACCGAGTCATAATGTTCTTCTTGGTCATCATTATTTTGCTAATTGCTTGATTATGTCGTCAACTGTTGTTAACCCCTGTGATTTAACTGACCTAGAGTTCCATAATTTTCAAGAGTTAGTTTGTAGGGATTTGGTCTGTTTCAAGTTTTTGGAGTACTGAACTATTTTTTCGTCCCAGTTTGGGACTCATCGGCAGTACTCATTCACCTCCAGGGTTCCAACGCAGTACCTTCAGGTTACAGGGTATTACTAGGACCCGATTCGATGGCCCACGAATTCTAACTTCAACCGATTCCGTAATTATTCTCACCCCTCTCTCTCCCTCTCAAAAATTGGAATCTTGTTGTTCATCCTTGACACCGGTTGGTCATGAGGTAGACGTCGAAAAGTTGTTCGAAATTATCAATAGGTGCAAAAGAGTTCAATTCTCCTCAAGTTTACTGAAGCTATCGCCATCAAGCGCCTAAAGCCTGATTTATGCGTTCAGAAAGAAGCGGTTATCAGTCTTTCTTTACTCCGTCTGGTAACTGTATATGTTCACCTACCTCTTTCATCTGATTACATAACGTTGAAGGTTTCCATTGTGTATGATCATTATTGTTCGGAATAGTGTTTAATATTATTATATATATTATTACTCTATGCATATATTGGTTGACTGATTTTTGTTTAAAAATGAACTCTGTGCAGGTATGTTGTTAAAATTGTTTCTGTAGATGTATTTAATAATGACTTTGGGCTGTGAGCAAGCAGCTGATGAGAAGCCAACGAAATAAACAATGATGGTACCATTTTATTCTACAAAAACCACCTGTTGTTCTTGCTTTATTCAAACTAACACCTACTAGTTAATTGTTTTGATGACTTCTAATCTTCTATTCCTTTTCATCCGGTTTCCTATACCCAAGACTGATCATTTTTAAAGTCTAAAATATAACCAAGTGAATGATAGTTCAGTTTTAGTCCTTGTGTAATTACTTCTAAAGTGTTCAACTCACCTTTTTGAAATGCGCTGAAATTCTGACTATTTTCTTCAGGTATCATATATTCAGGATAACTAGGGAATTTCATTTCATTTGATAATTCTGTCAAGTAGTCTTTTGTTTTCTTGTTGAACTTCTTTTCACCTGTATCCACTGAGTGTGTTTCACAAACTGGCGCGTAATCTGATGTACAATTGCATGTTTTATAGAAAGAAAATCCATTGAGATTATTTGAGATTTGATAATTTTGAAAGTCATACTCGTTATTCAAGCATTGTTCAGTTTGTGATTCACAAAAACAAGATCTAAATTGTAATTTAACAATAAAACAATCAGTATGACTATTTTTCAAAATAAGCGGAAACATATTATGATATGATTGATATTAAGAATAAAGACTTATGCACTCTGGTAGAGTGTAATTCCATTATGAGTAAATTTTTGTTTTGATAAAGTCTCACAGCGTTATACAGTAATACTTACTGATGACGACATTTCGAGCACAATTTATTTCCACTCATAATCATATCAAGGCACTACTCACACGACTTCCTAACTTCATTTATATAGTTCCATTATTTTCCATCGCTTGATTTTCATTTGATTTGATTGGTAGTAGTAGCAATAGGGTCACCAGTATCCCCTATCGTAGCAGGCATATTTATGGACAGCTGGGAAAGTAATGCTCTCAATACCTTTAATCCTACTCCAAAAATATGATGGAGATATGTGGATGACTGACACTTTCACAGTGTTAAAAACAGAATATATCTCTCTCTAGCTTCTTGACACATATAAACTCACTAATGGAGGGAATAAAATTCACATTTGAATCAGAAAATGAACAAGGACAATTAGCTATGTTAGATTGTAAAATAAAACGAATAGAAGAAGGTAAACTACCCACTAGTGTGTACAAAAAAACCAACGCATTCTAACAGATATTTAGACTTTAATTCATCTCATCCGTTAACTGTTAAGGAAGGCTTAGTTAAGTGTTTAACAAACCGAGCAGTAGCACTAAGTAGCACAAAAAATACCTAAATGATGAAATAAAACAGATAGAAGAGGCTTTGGGGTTAAATAACTATCCTTTAAAATTCATTAGGAACATTGAAAAAGGCCAAAAGAAAAAGAAAAATAATTGTGAAACTAGTAATAATAACATAAATAAGAGAGAATATAAGTCATCTACAATCATACCATATAAAGAAGGGACATCTGAGGCTATGTAGGATTCTTAATAAAGCAGGAATTAGGGTGGCGTTCACACCCTCTTACAAACTCACTCAGAGACAATCTCTGTAGGTTAAATGACCCAGTTGACCCAATTAGACAAAATAATATAATTTACAAAATACCTTGCAATAACTGTGAGTGTGGTCAACTACATAGGTAAAAGTAGTAGGTCGGGGGTAATCACATTGTCAGAACACAAGAATTTAGCTGAGGTTAGTATGATTGACCCCGAGAAGTTAATTAATTTAGAAAAAAGCTCAACGATCACACTACATGCATTAACACACACAATAGCACAATGATGGGGAAAGGGTTAAAATTCTAAGAAATAATCTAGATAGGTGCAGAGAGAGGTTGATTACTGAATCCTTGTTCATCGAGTCTACACCAAACACATTCAGTAGGAATGATTCATCACTCATACCCGAAATATGGAAAATACTACTACCAATCAAATCAAGTGAAGATCAAGCGATGGAAAATAATGGAACTACATAAATGAAGTTAGGAAGTCGTGTGAGTAGTGCCTTGATATGATTATGAGTGGCAATAAATTGTGCTTGAAACGTGGTCATCAGTAAACATTACTGTATAACGCTGTGAGACTTTATCAAAACAAGATTTAGCCATAATGGAATATTATGATATGATTGTCTTTGATAATATATATATATATATTCACTTAATGTTTTAGTTGTTAACAGCGATTGACAGCGTCGATCGAGAGGTGATTTGGAAACTACTTCGCTACTACGGGGTACCGCCAACAATTATACATCTCATCCAACAGTTTTATGACAATGCTGCATGCCAAGTAATCCACAATGAGAAACTTACGGAGCCCTTCGAAGTAAAGACATGAGTAAGACAAGGTCAGCTGCCTACTATCGCCAATGATTTCCCTGATTACAGTAGATTGGATAATGCAACAGACAGCGGGTTAGGCAGCGAAGAAACAGACATAAAATGAACCCACACAAAATACTTGGAGGATCTGGACTTCACCGATGATATATGTCTGATTTCCCACATACTAGAAGATATGCAAGTGAAAAGCAACAAGTTAGCAGAAGAAGCATCAAAGATAGGACTCCAAGTAAACAGAGAAAACAGAAGTGATGAAGATTCCTGGCCAACACCAACAGACAACAATCAATATAAATGGGAGAAATCTGAAAGAAACAACCTCCTTTACCTACCTACCTACCTGGGAGGCATCGTTTCAAGTGCAGGCGAAACTGACGAGGATACCAATGTGAGGATCATCGGGAAGGTAAAACAGGCTATCATCACTCTCAAGTCTGTGTGGAGATCAACAGCACTCAGCATTAAATATAAGATCTGGATCTTCAACTTCAATATGAAGTCAGTGCTACTATTCGATTGGATCAGAGACCTGGCGCGTCATAAAGAGCACCTCAAACAAACTACACACCTTCATCAACAGCTGTCTTCGCTCAATACTCAAGATCAGATGGCCGGCCAGAAATGATCAGCAATAGGGATCTTTGGGAGCGCACCAACAAGAAACCGGTTGTGCAACAAATTGCCAGGGAGAAATCGAGGTGGATTGGTCATACTCTGAGGAAACCATCAAGTGATATCACTAGACAAGCCATCGCTCGAGTGAAACCCGGAAGGGAAGCGGCGAGTTGGTCGTCAGTGCGAGGGTGATTTGGAGGAGGTCATCTGAAGAGGTGATGAAAGCATGTAGGCAGACTCGAAGCTAGGTGAAAACTCCAACAGAGAACCGAACGCAATGGAGACGTTCGGCTGAAGCCCTATGTCCCTCTAGAAATTAAAGGAAATAAAAATCATAAAAGTTTTTTTAATCATTCACTGTTTAAAGGTGATAAGAAGACTTTAGAAGATCTGGATGCCGCGGATGATTTGTGTCTAATGTCACAAAAATTCGAAGATTTACAGACGAAAATCAACTAACTGGCTGAAAAGGTGGGCAGTAAAAACAAGATTTCAAATGAACACATAGAGGAGATGGAGGTGATGAAAAAAAAATTGATCAATCAACCATGACAACAAGTATTAATCTCTATCGATAGAAGATGTTTGAAAGAGATCACTGAGGAAGATGTCAAAACCAGTCAGGATCGGGAAGGCAAGTCAGACATTTATTTATCATCCTGAAATCATTTTGAAAATCGACCACACTCGATCAGCATAAACAAGGAAATTCGGAAATTTTCAACACCAATGTTGTTAAGTGAGTTAATTCAGCTGTGTAGGCCAGATACCTTGCACATGTGTCACGAAACTGCAGAATAAATGGCCGGCTGGTCAGAAAGAATTATCAGCTAGAAACGTCGAGAACGAATTAATCAAAAATGCATCTCTGAACAAATATTCGGGAGAAAATCAAGCTGGATCGGATATATACAGATGACAGACTGTTGGATGACATGGAAAGCCAGGCCATCACTTGAGTAGAACTCTAATGGGATATGGCGAGTTGGGTGTGTGTCTGAGGGTGACATGGAGGAGATCGTTTGGCGAGGAGGAGATGACAGCTTTTGGGCAGTGGTAGGACTTACTAGAGTGGGGGTAGGGCTGCAGAGAACACAATGAAACGGAGATATGCTGTTTCCACTCGGAACCCAAGGGGATAATAATAATGATAATGTGTAAACTCCACTGTACTGCATAAGAGGGCTTTAATTACTTCATTTTTCCCAACCCTAAAGTGTTTAGATAAGACTAGTCAAGACTCTGTACTACACAGAGTGTGGAGAATATGCTCTATAGAGAAATTACAGGAAGAATTTGAGTTTCTTGAAAAGATGTTGAAGAGCAATGGGTACCTTCAAAGATTCATCAACAAGTATGCAAGATCTGAAGTCACAAATGTAAAAAAAATCACAATGGGTAAAAAGCCAATCTACATTCTGCTTGATTATAAAGATGAAAACATTGCAGCAATGGTCAGCACAAGGCTGAATACGTCACTAGCGACAGCCTATCCTGCAGCTAAGCTCGTCCCTGTCTACTGAACAACTTCCTCTTCGGTGCAATCGAAAATCGATAGATATCCTTCTCAGGTTAACTCCAACTGTATATACAAATTTACTTGTATCTGGGGGAGCATTGAAAGGACAAAAAGAAGGGCATATGTGCGATTTTCTGGACACGTACCAAAAAGCTTACGTCTAAAGAGAACAAATGCTTTAAACAGTGCCATCGTGAGGCATCTCCTGGACACAGGTCATGAGGTGGACGTCAAAAAGTCTTTCAAAATCATCAATAGGCACAAAAGAGTTCAATTCTCCTCAGGTTTACTGAAGCTGTCGCCATCAAGCGCCTAAAGCCTGATTTATGCGTTCAGAAAGAAGCGGTTATCAGTCTTTCTTTACCCTGTCTGGTAACTGTATGTGTTCACCTACCTCTTTCATCTGATTACATAACGTTGAAAGTTTCCATTGTGTATGATCATTATTGTTCGGAATAGTGTTTAATATTATTATATATATTATTACTCTATGCATATATTGGTTGACTGATTTTTGTTTAAAAATGAACTCTGTGCAGGTATGTTGTTAAAATTGCTTCTGTAGATGTATTTAATCATGACTTTGGGCTGTGAGCAAGCAGCTGATGAGAAGCCAACGAAATAAACAATGATGGTACCATTTTATTCTGAAAAAAACCCACTGTATTTCTTGCTTTGTTCAAATTATAAGATAAAATTGGTTATCTCATATGTTCTTCACAAATAAAGATCTAGAATTGTAGTAGTGATAGGTGAAATTCATTTGCTTCTACCTTACAACATCTAACATGTAGATTCAAGATTCTACAAACTAATCCACGGAATGCATGTGTCACTTTCATTTTATTCACATGAACTATTACTATGTTCTCTTTTATCATATTACATAACTAACTATTGATTCACTGATTGTATATCGTGTTTTATGCTCATTGAATTGTCAAGTGACTTCAAATTTCATACACTGTTATGATTAATAAATAACTTGATGACGTAATCACTCGCTGTTACATAACTGAAACTTGTTAGGGTTAAAAGAAATTATATTTATATGCGACACTGTTT